TACATTGTTTTCTTCTGGACATTCTTCATTTTTGCTGCTGTCCGAAAGTGATTTTTGTTTGTTTTCTTGAATCATACGTACAATATCATTGTCTGTCAATGCTTCGCATGTTCTAGCATCATCATCTGCAGTCAGAAAATCGTCAAGACTGACTTCGTTTGGCACTGATGTTTCTTTTGTCACATGTTCCCATAAAGCAGTGTTTCCCAAACTTATGACTTTTGTGTACCCTTTCCAAATTTTTCGCAACGCTATGTACCACTAATAAAAAAATGATTGTATTTTTTTAAAAATATATTTATTTTTCTTTTTTGATACAAGGTTTTATTAATAAGTTTATTTGCATTCGTGAGAAGGATGATATTGTTTTTGCTGTGATAAAAAAATTTGCACAAAAGTTAAAAATCACAATTGGCTGTTGATACCACTAATTATTATTAACTGCTAACTCTGCAAAAAATAGCCAATAGAAAAATACGTAATCGTAAATTTTCATGACTAGCTTTGTTTTTAAATAAAAAATTTTGAAATTTTCGTTTGTTGCAAAATATTTCGCATAAGAACGCGTACCCCCGCTAAACTGTTCCCGTACCCCTGGGGGTACGCGTACCACACTTTGGGAAACACTGCCATAAAGGCTGGAAATCGATGATAACATCATTAATTTCATCGACTGTTTCATTGTCAATTGCCGAAATTAAATTTGCTTTCTTCCATCCATTACAGATGACTTTTTGGCTAATGTCTTTCCATGCTCCAGCAATCATATCCATTGCTTGTTTTACATCTGGTTTCGTAATTGCTTCTTTGTTTCCGATTTGCACAAGCATACGCCTCAGATGTTGTGTACGATACTTTCCCTTTGCCACTTTAATTATACACTGGTCAAGAAGTTGTAAAATTGACGTACAATTAGGAGGAACGTATTCGATGTGAATACATTCCAATTTTGGTGGCTCATTGTGGGGTGAACAATTATCAATAAGAAGCAGAATTTTTCTTCTCTTACGTTTCATATCTTCCTCAAACTTAACCACTCATTAAATATTCCAGTCGTCATCCACGCTTTGCGGCTAGATCTATAATCACAAGGTAGTGAATTTACATTTTTTAGGCACCTAGGTTTGGCAGATTTGCCGATAATCATAACTTTTCTCTTTTCAGTGCCTGACATATTACAGCAAAACAAAGCAGTTAAACGCAGTTTTGAATTTTTGTCTCCAATGCATTTATCCTTTTTAAACGCCAAGGTTTTGTTTGGTAACAACTGGGAAAAAATTCCCGCTTCGTCTGCGTTGAAAACATCAGAAGGATCATAAGACTTAATTGCATCCGATATTTTTTCTGATTTCCAGTCATTCACAGCTTTTAAATCAACAGAGTTAGCTTCACCACAAATTTGCTTTGCAACAATACCATAACGTTCCTTGAATCGATTCAACCAACCAACACTTGCTTGAAAATTTTCGTTTCCAAAAGTTCTTGCAAATTCTAAAGCCTTTTCACGAATGAGGGGCCCGGAAATTGGAATGTTTCGGGATCGAATATCCTGCAACCATGTAAAAACAGCTGAATCTACATCTTGCAAATTTGAAAGTCATATCTTTTTTCTATGTGATCCGATCAATGCTGATTGCACTTGCTGTTCCAACTTCGTTCGATTTTTTAAAAAAGTAGATAGAGTAGATGGGGATAGTCCATACTTTGTTGCAACGTCAGCTTTTTTTATCCCATGATCAACTTCTGAAATAATTTCCAGTTTTTCCTTAATGGGAAATTGCTTACGCTTTTGACCACTCATTATGCTTAAAAAGGAAAACAAAATGCTTGCAAACGTTGAAAGCAGACAAACTGATTTAACTAACCTTCTCCTATTGAAGTTGCACACCACTCTGGTAATTTTCTGAAACTTGTTTACACCCCTTTTACACCTTGAGTTCCTAGAACAGCCCCCCCCCCCTATTTAGTCTGTTGTAATTCAAGGAAGGAATTGTTCTGCTAAGGGTGGTCACTTCGAATCTATCATTCTTTACAAGCACTTTCTATTGAATAGAATTCCTTCTTTTAAAAGCATGTGTATTTTGACTTCTTAAAACATGAATGAATCAATGCAAGGGTCAACTCAGGGTGGTCTCTTTTCAGTGATTCTTCTTTTTTTGACAGGTTTTTCACATTTGAAACTTATTAGTATTTTAAGGGTGATAAAACATTTCATTTCTGAGAACATTTTTGAAGAAATGTGTCTTGTTCATCAAAGAAAATAAGACCTGGCGTTCATTTTCACCTTCGCTAAATCGGATAATTGATTTCGTAATATCGGTATTTTTTATACATTGTTCACATGGAAATACATTTGGGGATTCGGAAAATATTCGTTACTTTGAAATTTTCGCTATTTCGAATTTCGCAAAAACGGGATTCGACTATATATATATAAGTTACAGATGAAGATAAAACAAAGAAAAATTATAGACATATAAAAAGGGGGGAGGAAATAATTAGTAAAAAAAATAACAAATAGTTTAAAAAAAATTAAAAGAAGGGGATGAAATTTTATTTAAAAAAAAAACTGGAAAAAAAAAGATATAATCTTTTCATCAGCTCACACGATTATATATGTATATATATATTTTTAAACTGTTTGTTATTTTTTTACTTATTATTTCCCCCCCCCCTTTTCATATGTCTAAAATTTTTCTTTGTTTTATCTTCATCCGTAACTTATCTAATGAGTACTGTTTACTTGCAGCTTTTGCACAATTAATGATACTTATTGTTTTTCTCAACTTTCTTTGTGCTTTCTTGTATTTATACATATATATAATACTAATAATTATAATATTATTATTATTATTTATAATAATTTATTGATGTTTTTTTAAATTTTAAGCAAAATTATTGATATATTATATTAATTAACTAATTTGTCAGAAAATACAAATGCAGCTTAGAATAACTGAATGCAATATACCCAAGTTTTAATTAAATAAAACTAAATTTCGAAAAAAATATATCAGACTATTAATATAAATGACTACATAGATAACAAAATTAACTGCGGAAATTTTAAACTTATAATTATTGGCAAAACTTGTAATTTTACAAAAATTAATTAGTGAATAATCCCTTAACAAGAAACGGTTGAAAAAACCAAACTGCTAATACATAAACTCAATCTTTATCAATTAATGGCTTAAAAATTTCATCTTCTTTAGTCTTATAATTGTAGTTAAGTATAACTGAATAACCAAGTTTTAATTAAATAAAACTAAATATCTAAATATATATATTAAACTATTAATATAAATGACTACATAAGATAACAAAAATTAACTACAGAAATATTAAAACTTATTGGCAAAACTTTTAATTTTACAAAAATTAATTAGTGAATAATACTCTAATAAGAAATGGTTGAAAAAACAGAACTGCTAATACCTGAACTCAATCTTTATCAATCAATGAATTAATTTCATCTGATTAGTTTTATAAATTTTGAGAAAAACACCATAGAAAACATCCAGCTGTGTGACTATTTTTGAATGAAAATGAATATATTTAAAAATAGTAAATAAAAGAAATTTATAAAAAAGCTAAAAATTGTGAATCAGAGGAATGCTTGTATTTTATACTGTTACACTATAAATACATAATATAATAAGCATTAAATGAATGTTAATTTACGATTGAATTTTATAAAATTAGAAAATCATTATACCTGCAAATCTGTAATTATTGTATGCTGTACATCTTCTTTTTGTTCTTGAAGGAAATGATAACTGACAGCATTTAAAGTGTATGAACGCAATTTATAATCTCGGACGAGAATCTGTAATTTTAAATAACAATTACAATAAAAAAATATTAGTATAAATCATTTATAATAAGAACTATTTCATTTGATAAAAAAGCTTGTAAAGAAGTAACCTCAAATTTGTTACATGGTAGCCTTAAATGTAGCACAATTTAAGGCTGTTATTCCTGTTTTGATATTAAATATTAGTCTGTTTCAAAATTTAATTGATTATAAAAAAATTTATTTAAATTTGATTGAATAGCTAAAAAAGTTTATCTTGCTTTAAAAAATATATATTTTAATATCACAATGCAAAAAAACAAGTGTGTCTTATTTACCTGCAATTCAATGGTTCGACACAAGCAAGAAAAAGTAGTTTCACTTAAAATGTGATAATGTTACATTAATTATAAAAGATTTTTACATAAAAACAGCTTATTAACATTTTGTTAAAATACATTTCGAAATTTTCATTTCAAACCCTTTATTAAAACAGCTAAAACACCATTCAAAAAAATTTGAAACTTTCTGGGACTAATTTATTAATTATTTGTAATACGATTTTAGAGATATTTTATTTTAATGATTTACTTGTAATAAATCGAGCTGTATTCTCCCTTCGATATTGATAATTTTGTTTTCACGTTTTCCCATCTGCCTTGATTGAAGAACGGAATCTCGGATGATAGTTCTTATGTTTTTAATTCTTCCCAGAAAGGGAAAACTACTGATCTTTAAGTGATTGGCCCTATTTATGAGGTACGGGAAATCAAAGTTCTGAATGTTGTAACCAGTGATGATGTCAGGATCAACAGCACGAATAAAATCAGCCCATTCCTAAAATTAGAGAACATAGGTTCGTTAGAATCATATAGGAAGAAAATAAGTCATTGAATCAACATTTCCTCATTTCAAAAATGAATAAAATTATGTTAATTTTTCAAACTAACTAAAGATTTTTCATTATTAAATAATAGTAACATTTATATAAAGATTACAACATAGTAAAACATAATATAATAACACTAATAAAATCAATAAATTATAAATCAAATCAAATCTGCAAGAACAGAATTATTATGTTATTTGAATATGCAAAAGCCATCTTTTAATAACATTTCTCAAGTTTTGGAAGATGTGTAGTAATTAAATTTCAAATTTTTTTCTGCCCTTTTACAAACAAAAAGAACAAAGATAATGATGTAGATAACATTTCGTTGGGAAATTGATGGGTAAAAGTTTAAAAAAAAATTCAGATAAAAACTGTTTATGAATAGGGAGAAGTTATGGAATGTTTATCATCATTCAATATCAATGATCATCAATCATTTGATCATTGAATAAGATTTCATTGACCATTGAATGTTTATCTATCGGAGATATTTGAAAAACATTTGATATTTCATAACGAGCTTCAAACCAAAGAAAAAAGCACTTGCACATTATGTTGAATTTTCAACATCAAATTTTGCTAATCAAGCAAATACGCTAATATTTTAAGACCTTTCTGTACATTGAATATTGAAGCTGATGTTTAATTAATTTAAATTTAAAAACTAAATTATGGAAAAATATACAATTTATAAACTAGCAATTAATTCAAGTTTTAATGTATTTGTAAAGTTTAAATTTGAAATTTTCTCCATAAGTATTCTAGTGCCCCGATGTTCCGATTTAAGAAATCAGCTGCTTGATAAAATAAAGTGTTTTCAGAATGAACATAACTTCAATATGTGGTGGGCACTGTATACACTATAGATCAACAGTTCCCAAATAGTGTTTCATGGAACCCTGGGGTTCTGTGGAATAGTTGAAAGTGTTCAGAAAGTCAAAATTTTTTTAAACAAGTAATTATTTTTGGCACCTCTTATTATATTTAGATCCAACCAATAATCCATTATTTATTTAATACATCGGTTGCTTTTATGAAATTATTTAAAGTAAAATGCCAATAAAAAAAAAAGATAGTAAATTTTTCTGAAGAAAATAATACAATTTTTTCTAACAACACTATTTTGAATAAATTATAAAAAGGATATACTAAAAAAATATATTAGTACTCCCCATTATACTTTTGAGTTCAAAATAAAATAACTAATTTTATAGATATAGAAATATGTTTCCCTAATAACCATTTTCAAAGTTTAGAACAGTTTTTTTAAATTTATGTTAAAAAAAAAAAAAAAAAATAAGCCAAACAAATAAAGGTGACATCTTCTCTTTATTTATCATCCAGAGTTGTCAGACTACTATTATTAGGCGTGTTGTGCAATAAAAATTTTGCTAGAATAGTAAGATAGTGCAGCAATGTACATCTCATGCATATAAATATTACTTAAACATTAGATTTTCTTCATAACTTTTAATTACAATACAATATTCATTATTCTTAATAAAAATCCTGATTTTTTAATATTATTTTTAACATTTAAACTAGTTTGAAACAAAACAGTAAGTACATTTTTCTAATACAATATTGTTAAATATTCAGAGCAATTACTTTTTTTATAAATTTAAAAATAAATCAGAAATGTTTTCTCTTTCAAGGGCATTAAAAAATAGCTGAGTGAATTTAAAAATATAAAAAAACTGCTTAAATATTGCCGTCTCTTGACATTTATTAAATATCTTAAATAATGGCTTTCTAGTACATAATTTCAAACAAGGGAAACGGAGAGGCAAATTGTATATACAACCATAGCAAACTGGCCATTCTGATCCTAGATTATAAAAATATAGAGAATATTTAATAGCTAGGCTCATGTATTTCAATCCATTAAAAAAAATGTAATCATATGCAAAGATAGGATGCAATCATATGCAAAAGAAGATAATAGAGAAATGAAATCATATGCAAAAGGACCAGTAACTAAAAGATTATTAGTCTGTACATATTTCCATTGATTTGTTTACATGTTCCTAAAAAAATTTTATTCCTTCTTTAAAAAAATTAATTAACCTTTCAAGCCTTGAGCCTCTGGGTAAAATTGTGCAGAAATTTACTCGCTATGTACTACTCTCCTATTAAATAACATGCAGAAACCAATTTTTGAAAAAGTCGTAAAAAAGGTTAGAAAAAGCTGGCACTAATGCTTAAATGTATTTAAATAAAAAATTGTTCACAATTATGGTGAATTATGCCATTTTGTGAAAAAAATACAGACCAAAAACATGAAATCAAAAACATATTCATTTACATTGAATTTCCAGGGAACCACAGATAATTTATTTTATAAAGGTTCAAGTCTAAGTTCAAAACTACCATAAAATTTAAAGCCCTGCAAATGAATTTTTCAAATAACTTACTTTCAAAAGAGCCTGTTCACTCTGGTAGGACAAAACCTGTGATCCGATGATGGGAGCACATGAATTGAGCGTGAATACGTTACGAATGAAGGGACCTTTTTCACCTTGCCTTATCACCATGTTTGCTATCTGAATGACCGGATCATGCTGAGGTTCAGGAAACACACCTAACATAAAACATAAGACTCATATATAAACATATCATTCATAAGAGGAATTTTTGACAAAAATTTAAAGTAAAAATAAAAGCAATGTTATAAAACATTGTTGACAAATAGGAATTTTAAATAAATTAGCTTAAAATAGTTCATTTTATGCAATCAAATACCTTTTAGTTACATACAAGATTCTTCATCAAAANCAATGTTATAAAACATTGTTGACAAATAGGAATTTTAAATAAATTAGCTTAAAATAGTTCATTTTATGCAATCAAATACCTTATAGTTGCATACAAGATTCTTCACCAAAAATTAAAGCAAATTAAATACCCTATAATTGCATATAAGATTCTTCATCAAAAATAAAAGTGAGTTAAGTACCTTATAGTTATCTATAAGATTCTTCATTAAAAGATAAAACTATTTCAAACATCTTTAAGCGCATATACTATTTTCAAATACATAATCTTTAAATACAAAATCTTTAAATACATATAAAACTAAATGTTAAAATGAGTTCAAATATATTTGAACAAGTTTACATAAAACTGCAAACATAAATAAGAAAAGGTTTAAGCTGCATAGTGACATCATTTTAAATCACATAATCATACTTTTTAGAGATTATAACTACACTTTAAACTGTCACATTACAATCATAATGATAAATTAGAAAAAGGTTTAAGCCTCATAGTCACTTACATAATTATAAAACATTATAGTTTTTAAACTTAACTGGATTCTTAATCCTGAAACTAAGAATTAATGACATTGAAATAATATTATATTAAATTTCTCAAATGTAAGAAGGTATAATTTGTTCACCAGGAGTTGGCATTTGGCTCCACCTCCTTGTACGAAGAGTTCATTTCAGTGCAGAACTAAGAGGAGAAATCAAAACAACCCTTAATGTGCGCCAAACGAAAAAAATGAATTATTTTTTCAATCACTTTCTTCACTTTATCGTCTGCTATTATACCTTTCGTTACTCTAGCTAATTAAATATATATTGCAGCAAAATGTCTCAAAAAGGACAAATTATTCAGAAAAGAGAAATATCATCAAACTTTTGAAATATTTCATGTGAATAAAATGCTCATAAAGATAGTGAAATAAATATTTTTGTCATACGATAGCCAAATAGCAACCTTGTTCAGGATTGTTCACATCCTTCTCCCAAAAATTGCAAAAAAGTATCGTCGGATACCACATGATGAAGATGGAGCCAAGAGCCAACTTCTGGTGAACTAACTAAAGGTATCTAAAGAAAATTTACCCTTTCGTCCAGCACATTCAATATCAAAACTCAATATACGAACAGGTGCAATTTTCGACCATTCTCCTTCTGGTTCGTGTGCTATGAAATCATTCCATGCCACGTTTAATTCAATTTGGCAGCGGGAAGATGAAGTAGATGACAATAAGGTATATTTCCCAGGTGGCACTTCAATCCAGTTGCAGCCAACTACTTTTGTGTCAACCATAAACCTAAAAGAAAAATCAAATTAATAAAATATATATAATATAGGTAATAATTAGTAAATTTTGCTACTGGTCAGGGGCATTTTTAACAGTGGACACTTTTTTAAATTTGTAATCTTTTTTCAAAAAAAATCTAAAACTTCAAACCATTAAAAAAAACTGCTAATATTAATAATGTAAGGCATATTTTTTTAAACATTTCTCAAAATATAAAAAACATTACNATTTGTAATACGATTTTAGAGATATTTTATTTTAATGATTTACTTGTAATAAATCGAGCTGTATTCTCCCTTCGATATTGATAATTTTGTTTTCACGTTTTCCCATCTGCCTTGATTGAAGAACGGAATCTCGGATGATAGTTCTTATGTTTTTAATTCTTCCCAGAAAGGGAAAACTACTGATCTTTAAGTGATTGGCCCTATTTATGAGGTACGGGAAATCAAAGTTCTGAATGTTGTAACCAGTGATGATGTCAGGATCAACAGCACGAATAAAATCAGCCCATTCCTAAAATTAGAGAGCATAGGTTCGTTAGAATCATATAGGAAGAAAATAAGTCATTGAATCAACATTTCCTCATTTCAAAAATGAATAAAATTATGTTAATTTTTCAAACTAACTAAAGATTTTTCATTATTAAATATTAGTAACATTTATATAAAGATTTTAACATAGTAAAACATACTATAATAACACTAATAAAATCAATTAATTATAAATCAAATCAAATCTGCAAGAACAGAATTATTATGTTATTTGAATATGCAAAAGCCATCTTTTAATAACATTTCTCAAGTTTTGGAAGATGTGTAGCAATTTAATTTCAAATTTTTTTCTGCCCGCTTACAAACAAAAAGAACAAAGATAATGATGTAGATAACATTTCGTTGGGAAATTGATGGGTAAGAGTTTTATAAAAAAATTATGTAAAGAAATGCATGAGATTGTAAAAAAAATCCAGATAAAAACTGTTTATGAATAAGGAGAAGTTATGGAATGTTTATCACCATTCAATATCAATGATCATCAATCATTTGATCATTGAATAAGATTTCATTGACCATTGAATATTTATCTATCGGAGAAATTTGAAAAACGTTTGATATTTCAAAACGAACTTCAAACCAAAGAAAAAAGTACTTGCACATTATGTTGAATTTTTAACATCAAATTTTGCTAATCAAGCAAATACGCTAATATTTTAAGACCATTGAAAATTGAAGCAGATGTTTAATTAATTAAAATTTCAAAAATAAATTATAGAAAAATATACAATTTGAAAAATAGCAATTGGTTCAAGTTTGAATGTATTTGTAAAGTTTAAATTTGAAGCTTTTTCCATAAGTATTCTAGTGCCCCGATATTCCAATTTAAGAAATCAGCTGCTTGATAAAATAAAGTGTTTTCAGAACTTCAATATGTGGTGGGCACACTATAGATAAACAGTTCCCAAATAGTGTTCCATGGAACCCTGGGGTTCTGTGGAAAGTGTTCAGAAAGTCAAAATTTTTTTAAACAAGTAATTATTTTTGGCACCTCTTATTATATTTAGATCCAACCAATAATCCACTATTTATTTAATACATCGGTTGCTTTTATAAATTATTTAAAGTAAAATGCCAATAAAAAAAAAGATAGCAAATATTTCTGAAGAAAATAATAAAATTTTTCTAACAACACTATTTTGAATAAATTATAAAAAGGATATACTAAAAAAATATATTAGTACTTTCCATTACGCTTTTGAGTTCAAAATAAAAGAACTAATTTTATAAATATAGAAATATGTTTCCCTAATAACCATTTTCAAAGTTAAGAACAGTTTTTTTTAAATTCATGTTCAAAAAAAAAAATAAGCCAAACAAATAAAGGTGACATATTCTCTTTATTTATCATCCAGAGTTGTCAGACTACTATGATTAGGTGTGCTGTGCAATAAAAATTTTGCTAGAATAGTAAGATAGTGCAGCAATGTACATCTCATGCACATAAATATTACTTAAACATTAGATTTTCTTCATAACTCTTAATTACAATACAATATTCATTATTCTTAATAAAAATCCTGATTTTTTAATATTATTTTTAACATTTAAACTAGTTTGAAAAAAAAGTAAGTACATTTTTCTAATACAATATTGTTAAATATTCAGAGCAATTACTTTTTTTATCAATTTAAAAATAAATCAGAAATGTTTTCTCTTTCAAAAGACAATAATATTCAAGATTATAATATTTGCACCTTCTGATGATACCAAGTTAATTGTAACCAGTGTTTTTTATTCATAAGTTTTCTAAATAAATGCCTGCAAACATGCTACTTGGTATGTGGATGGTATATGCTCATTATACTATACTCAGGGATGAGATTAACCAGAAGGCAAAAAAGCTGAATTTCCACAATAGTAAATTTTACGCAAGCGCAACCCTTTAATAATAAATTCCAGACAGTTTAAGGTAATAAATAATGTGTTGACATACAATTGTGTACTAATCTATTATTATATAAATGATCACATTGATACTTAACATTTAGTGAAAATAAAAATTACCAATTGAAAAAATAAAGCTGGAAATTATATTTTTCCTCAGTTCACATAAGAGACAACTATTACTTGAAAAACTACCTGGTTTAGCCAATTAAAACTACTGAGTATATACATTAATATTTCATTTCTTTTAATAGATACTGTTATGTGATTTATAGCAAAATATATCAGTAATATTATTTTTTAAATTATATTGGGAAAAAAAACTTTAACAATGGATCGAATCATTATGTTCATATTATAGTCTAATCTAACTAGAGCCCTTTGAAACATATCAATAACAGCGAAGTAGAAATATATAGTAACTCCTTAACACACAAAAATTGCTATTTTAGTTTGAAAAATTACATGACAATCAGCAACTGTTTAGATAATTGTTTTTTAATTGATAAGAATTTTGCATTTTATAGCATAAATAACAGCAAGTATAAATAAAATTTTAATGATGAGTTAATTAACTCTTTTTCCAAAAAAAAATATTAAATTAAATCCCTTTTTAAGTGATTGCTTTTGTTTGCTAAATCTTTTATGCTTGCTATATTTAGTCGTTAGTCCATCTTCAAACATCTTGTGACAAATCCTATCAACAAATCCTATTTTTTCTTCCTTGCAAGCACAGAATGTAAGTTTTAAATATATTCCCTTCCAGTTTCTTTGATGTTGTAACACTTACATATACTACTAATAATCGTCGTTTGAAAATCAGTCACCTTTATAGTAACTATTTTTTTTTTTAAATTACTTCTTACAAGAATCGCGAAAGTTGATCCTAAAATTGCGTGAATATGAATAACAATTATGGATTTGGAAATCAGATGAATATGAAACTAGATATACGATTTTGAAAATGAGAAAATACAAACTGGGATATAGAATTTTTAAAACGCGTAAATATAAATCACGATTCATAATTTTTAGATCGTGTAAATACAGATCATGATGCATAATTTTTAGATTGCATAAATAAGAATTATGAATTTTTAGAATGCGTGAATGCGAATCCCAATGCCTTATTTTAAAATCACGTATAAATACGAAAATCAATGTTTGATATTATAAACCGCATGAGCAAATGAAGTCATTGAATTTTAAACTTGCGTGAATACGAATCGTTACATAGGTTCTTAAAAAGGCGTAAATACGAATCACAATATCGGACTTTTAAATCTCGTAAATAAGAATCGCAACGTACAATATTCAAATCGTGTGAATAAGAATGGCAACACGCAAATATGAAAAACTTTGTTTGATATTAAAATTGTGTGAATAAGAATCGAGATATTAGCAGATTCCAGGCTTGGGACCTCTAAAAGGCTTGTCAGAAGCAGCGTCGTTTGAACTACAAAAATCGGATATATTTGGAGGGCGGGTAAAAAATTCGGAAAATCTTATCTGCTGCGAGTAAAAGGGAGAAAATAGCTAAAATAAGTAAAAATGAGAAAGGATTGGTAGCTATGTAGTTTGTAGTTTCTGTTTCTCTTTGAAAATCGGTAAATTTTCTGAAAAAACGGAATACTTATATTAAAAAAAGTGGAATTTTTAGAAAAATCTGAATTTTTTATAAAACAGCTGAAATTCAATAGATAAAAGTGAAAAAAGCGGAAATCCGCTAAAAAGCGGAAAAATCTCATCCCCGTATACTAAACACAGTGGTGCGACAGCCCATAGAGGGCCAAGGCCTACTGTGCGCATCTCAGTTTTCTTGACCTTGGGCTCTGGGATGTAGGAGCAGATGTTCTGGTTGTTGGAAAATGTAAACAAATAGATGGGCAGTATTTTCCTCTTGGCTGTGCCACTTTCTATGGGAAGTTGGGTCACTTCCTATGGGAAGTTGGGTCACTTCCTAGGGGAAGTTGGGTCACTTCCTGTTATCTCAACTAGAAGGAAGTGGGTGTTTCTGTTTTTAGTCAGTTATATCTTTGCTTTGGATAGAGGATATTTCTTCTCTTATGTTATGTTTAGAGAGAGCTATGTGATGTTAAAGAGTTATGTTTAGTTTAATTGAATGTAGTTTTTCCTACTTTATATTTAAAGATTTATATTCAATAAATATAGTTGTACAGTTTTCCATGAAGTGAATTCTTGAGTAGTAATAGATGTCTTCAATATCTTATACTTAGTAAGCTGGCCCCTATTTTACAACACCGGTTAGGTGCTCAGTCGAACCCCCAGTGTTTGGTTCCCAAGCATGCTCAGCACTCATTTATCGACCCACTGAAGAGATGAAAGGCTGAGCCAACCTTGCCCGGCCCGAGGATCGAACCCAGGATCTGTGGCATGAGAGCACTAAGCGCAACCACTCAGCCACATTATGGTACATGAAATGGTTGAGGCAGCGTAGAGCATATAGAATCATCTACACCCAGGTATTAGGATTGTCTAATAGAAGATTAAAATGCATACAATTAAGGAGTCTCCCTCAAGAAGTTGTCAATCTTTTCCCTACTAAATAAAAAAATATTACAAAATGAATAGTAGATAGTTTAATAAGCTACATTTTTAACATTGTTCTTACTCAAATGTTTAACGTGAATCCTCTTTTTTAAACCACAAAAAACTTAAATTTTAACAACCAATGTTATTTATTATCCTAAATAAGAACATTTTAAGACCTTGAAAGTCTGTACAGAAAAGTGAAAAACAATAACAAAAGAAAGAGTAAAGACATTTTAAGGGCATTAAAAAATAGCTGAGTGAATTTAAAATGATTTTAAAAATATAAAAAAATTGCTTAAATATTGCCGTCTCTTGCCATTGATTAAATATCTTAAATAACGGCTTTCTAGTACATAATTTCAAACAAGGGAAACGGACAGGCAAATTGTATATACAACCATAGCAAACTGGCCATTCTGATCCCAGATTATGAAAATATAGAGAGAAGATATTTAATAGCTAGGCTTATGTATTTCAATCCATTAAAAAAAATATAATCATATGCAAAGATAGAAATTAAGAAAATTAAGTCAACAGTCCAAAAGGACCAGTAACTAAAAGATTATTAGTCTGTACATATTTCCATTGATTTGTCTACATGTTCCTAAAAAAATTTTATTCCTTCTTCAAAAAATTAATTAACCTTTAAAGCCTTGAGCCTCTGGGTAAAATTGCGCAGAAATTTACTCGCTATGTACTACTCTCCTATTGAATAACATGGAGAAACCAATTTTTGAAAAAGTTGTAAAAAAGGTTAGAAAAAGCTGGCACTAATGCTTAAATGTATTTAAATAAATTTTTTTTCACAATTATGGTGAATTATGCCATTTTGTGAAAAAAATACAGACCAAAAACATGAAATCAAAAACATATTCATTTACATTGAATTTCCAGGGAATCACAGATAATTTATTTTATAAAGGTTCAAGTCTAAGTTCAAAACTACCATAAAATTTAAAGCCCTGCAAATGAATTTTTCAAATAACTTACTTTCAAAAGAGCCTGTTCACTCTGGTAGGACAAAACCTGTGATCCGATGATGGGAGCACATGAATTGAGCGTGAATACGTTACGAATGAAGGGACCTTTTTCACCTTGCCTTATCACCATGTTTGCTATCTGAATGACCGGATCATGCTGAGGTTCAGGAAACACACCTAACATAAAACTCATATATAAACATATCATTCATAAGAGGAATTTTTGACAAAAATTTAAAGTAAAAATAAAAGCAATGTTATAAAACATTGTTGACAAATAGGAATTTTAAATAAATTAGCTTAAAATAGTTCATTTTATGCAATCAAACACCTTATAGTTGCATACAAGATTCTTCATCAAAAATTAAAGCAAATTAAATACCCTATAGTTGCATATAAGATTCTTCATCAAAAATAAAAGTGAGTTAAGTACCTTATAGTTGCATATAAGATTCTTCATTAAAAGGTAAAATATTTCAAACATCTTTAAACGCATTTACTATCTTCAAATACATAATCTTTAAATACAAAATCTTTAAATACATATAAAACTAAATGTTAAAATGAGTTCAAATATATTTGAACAAGTTTACATTAAAACTGCAAACCTAAATAAGAAAAGGTTTAAGCTGCATAGTCACATCATTTTAAATCACATAATCATACTTTTTAGAGATAATAACTACACTTTAAACTGTCACATTGCAATCATAATGATAAATTAGAAAAAGGTTTAAGCCTCATAGTCACTTACATAATTATAAAACATTATAGTTTTTAAACTTAACTGGATTCTTAATCCTGAAACTAAGAATAAATGACATTGAAATAATATTATATTAAATTTCTCAAATGCAAAAAGGTATAATTTGTTCACCAGGAGTTGGCATTTGGCTCCACCTCCTTGTACGAAGAGTTCATTTCAGTTTGGAACTAAGAGGAGAAATCAAAACAACCCTTAATGTGCGCCAAACGCAAACAATGAATTCTTTTTTCAATCACTTTCTTCGCTTTATCGTCTGCTATTATACCTTTTGTTATTATAGCTAATTAAATATATATTGCAGCAAAATATCTCAAAAAGGACAAATTATTCAGAAGAGAGAAATATCATCAAAGTTTTGAAATATTTAATGTGAAAAAAAAATGCACATGAAGATTGTGAAATAAATATTTTTGTCATACGATAGCCAAATAGCAACTATGTTCAGGATTGTTCGCATCCTTCTCCCAAAAATTGCAAAAAAGTATCGTCGGATACCACATGATGAAGACGGAGCCAAGAGCCAACTTCTGGTGAACTTACTAAAGGTATCTAAAGAAAATTTACCCTTTCGTCCAGCACATTCAATATCAAAACTCAATATACGAACAGGTGCAATTTTCGACCATTCTCCTTCTGGTTCGTGTGCTATGAAATCATTCCATGCTACGTTTAATTCAATTTGGCAGCGGGAAGATGAAGTAGATGACAATAAGGTATATTTCCCAGGTGGCACTTCAATCCAGTTGCAGCCAACTACTTTTGTGTCAACCATAAACCTAAAAGAAAAATCAAATTAATAAAATATATATAATATAGGTAATAATTAGTAAATTTTGCAACCGGTCAGTGGCAAAACTAGCATTTTTAACAGTGGACACTTTTTTAAATTTGTAATCTTTTTTTTAAAAAAATCTAAAACTTCAAACCATTAAAAAAAACCTACTAATATTAATAATGCAAGGCATATTTTTATAAACATTTCTCAAAATATGAAAAACATTACAACGGTTATTTCTGAAATTTTTTTTTTAAAAAAAAACAAGTGAGAACTAAAGTAATTTTCAGATTATAAAATATTCATATTTATTAAAAAATAATAATAATAAAATGTAAATAAATTGCATTTTCGACAAAAAAAAAAATAGATAGCAAGTAATAGGCTATTTTTTTTAATTGCCATTTTTCATATTAAGTCACCATGAGGGGAATGTTTTATCGACTATGTCAACCTCCATCCATCAAAAGGTAGCTCAAGATAGAATCAAGTTAGCATGTCTTACATACACTAGTGAATTGGTATTTAATATTTATAGCAGTAGTTATGCCACAGCCTCTCTCGATTTTGCCCAATATAGTACATTTGACTGTCTACACATGAAAATGATCAAGATTAGATACTATTTGAAATTATACTAACAAATATTTAAAGACTAGTGCATTGTGATTTTCAAGTGCTTATCCCAAATTAACGTACATTGCCTCATCCTTCAGAGAGCTTTGTATTAAGTTCTGTGTAATGTTTTATCAACTTAAACGAGATTTGAGACACATTAGAGTTTTATTGGAAAATGTAAAACTAAGGCAATAATAAGTTTAGAATTTCTAAATATATTTGTTAAAAATTACCTTTTAATGATGCTTAACTTTAAGGTATTTTATCTAATATTATAGGGGTTAGCTTTTTGACATCAAATAATGGTTTTTTATCAAACACCTTAAGACATATAGATAAGAAAAAAAGGCAAATATATTCTAAACATACCAGTCAGATTGCTGGAAATCAGGTGGTGNAAAAAAAAAAAAAAAAAAAAAAAAAAAAAGGTAAATATATCCTAAAAAGAGCACAGTCAGATTGCTGGAAATCAGGTGATGATAAAGATTAAAAAAAATTAAATATACCCTAAACATAGCACAGTCAGATTGTTGGAAATCAGGTGGTGCTGGCACAAAAAAATAAGGAAGAAATCCATGAACGTGGCATAAAATACTGTTTCATTCCATTGATACACCAAACATTCTCATAATTGGCACAGGTCCAACCTTACAGCCAGGCATCCCTGGCACTGGCTGTCCAATATAATATGCAATATCAAGTTGTTGAAACATAATAGAATCCTTCTTGGGATCAATAGGCGGGGGAGGTGGACGTGTCCATTTGGCATTGGAAATTGATTCAACATCTTCTCCTGGAGAGGAAAAAGAATTTAAAAATGTTACATGTTAAAAATAATTAATTAATATATATATATACAGTACAGAACCCGTTATCCGGAAATCAGAAAACTGGAAAACCAAAAAACCGGAATGAAATTCGATAAATTTTCCCGCTCTTTAAAAAATAAAAATAAAAAATTTTCCTCATAAGNTAGTTACCTATTTTGCTATGAATAATTAAATATTTCATAACGCTTGAGTTGGCATTTTTTTAAAAATAAACTATTGATTTGAGCCATAAATACTTTTTCATACAGTATAATTTACATTCATGCAACATAATTTACATTTTATGGTTGTGACTGTTTTAAAGAAGTCAGATTTTATTAGTATTGAAGGCTTTTCTGTGGAAAAAACCATAAGAAAGGGTAATGTATATATAAATTACTATATTATGGTTAAAATCAGAATAAGAGCCTAAATGTGGATTAAAGTGACATGAAAATTGCAAATTATAAATTTATATTGGCTAAAAGAAAAATGATTTGTTATTTAATAAACATATTTCAACTATGCCCCATTCAGTTTAAGTTTACTTAATTACAAATTGCAGAGTTAAAACTTTTTAAATAAAATCAGCATATAAATAATAAAAGACTTGTTCTTTCAATAACCTCTTGAGTAACTAAAAATAATGATCTTTTTAATGCTTTCTGATCTAAATAATTTACTCCTCATTTGAAAAATGACAAATTAGGTCAACCTCATTACAAATCCATCACGGTGTTGAGTTTGTTTAAAAACAATGATGATTTTAATGATGGTTTTTTAATAATTATGTAACAATTTTAAGTTTTAATTATTAAATACCTTAATTATAATATTGTTTATAAATAATTATAAGCATTATTAATATGTTTTAATAGATTTTTGATTGATAAGCATTTCAATAATCATTCTCGTAGCTTTCTTAGCATCAAAAAATATGAAACGTCTTAAAATAAATAAAAAAACCAATAGCTACTGTATATATATATTTTTTTAGATTTAAAATCTCATATCAAAATATAAGTGGCACATTAATAAATATTTAAATGCATAGGTAGAACGTGTATGTATATCATTAATCACTGCATTATTCAAATAAATTAAATTTAAGATGGCTAAAAAAATTCAGATCATTTAAAAATAGTAAAGATATGAGGATAATAATTCCCTTTATTATAAAACAACCATAACAAAAAAATAATTTTAGAAATAACTATTGTGACTAAAAGTGAATAAATTTGGAAAATTATTATTTTTTTAATAATTACTTAAAATTATTTCGTAAAGAAGAAAAGGCAACAAAAAAAAAAGACATAAGGAAGAGAACAAAATCAGAGAGAAAACTTCCAAATCATGATCTATGCAAAAATAATCACCAAATGACTAGTGATAAATTTTAAAAAAAAAAACACAGAAGGGGAGGAAATAGGGGTAAATCTGTATCTTGATCTACATATCAAAATAATCACCGAGTGCAGTGTAAGAAATTTACAAAAAAAAATAATAAAAAGTAACCAACTGGGAAAATTTATAAGATCTATCGCTCAAACAACAATCGCTAGGATGTCGCTAAGATGTCGGGGGAGGCAACGATTTATACCCTACAAGTCAGTTTCCTTCTGTTATATATATTTTTTATTTTTAGTTCCTAGCTGGCCATTGCAATGAATAATTCTGTATCAGAACCTGATACCAACTTGAAGGGTATAAATTGTAGCTAACCGTAGACAAACTTTTATTTTAAAAATTTGAGAGTTTAAAATCCATTTAGAACCTCGGAAATTGCAGTTGATGTCACAGATCAAGATATAAAGTATCCGTAAATCAGAACTATTACAAATACACACCAAATAAAAAAATTTGGTATCCTGGTAAAATAGTCAACCTTTACCAAAAGTATAAATGATTACAAATGCTTTTAAAAAGGTGATGATAATAGAGTAATAATAAAGCCAGAAATAATCAAATCACACACAATTAGACATTAAATTTAATAAAAATATTTAAAATAAAATGCCTGTTGTCCTCATCTTCTTCAAATGTTATAACTAAACAATATAAATAGCTGCTTTTGAGCAGTTACAGAATCTATATACATATGTCACTGACTAAACTCAATGTTTTATCATAAGAAAACAACGAAACGAATTTTCACTAACTAGTAATAAAAATGTAAANTTTTTTGAAATTTCTGCTGCTTTTTAGAGCGTTTTTTTTTTCAAAGAAGTTTTATCTATTTAGAATTAAAAATATTTGTGTTTTCTTTTAGTATTACATATATATATATATTATTGCTGGCACAAATGATGTATCATATAATCTTAGTTTATTATATTAATTTAATCTTCTTTTCTCTAATATTGCTTTTGGATAAATTTTATTCGGGAGTTCTAAAAATAAATTTGAATGACAAAACAATCTCATAATAGTGATAGAAATTCATCGCGCCAATTCTGTTGAGATGGAATATCAGGTGAGGTATATTATGAGGTATTCTATGGTATACTGGGCCAACTGAAGATTGTGATGAAAACAGAAGAGGAAAATTACACTTGAACCGGATCGTATTTAATAAAAAGCTTTTATTTAATATATTTGCAGAGCTCGAGATACAAAACATAAAAATATATTATCCATGATAATGTTCAAAGTTAAATACATTTTGCATAGTAATATTAATAAGGACAGGCCCTGGGAGACAATTCCCCCACGACCTGCCTAAACTAAAGCCAAATTAAAAGTGCATGTAATTTTGTTCACAACGGACACAGGAGAAGCTTGGATAGGAGATCAAAAATTGGCGATTTATTAAAATATAGCATAGCCATAAAGCATATCAATATTGGGTTTAGTTTAAAAGAATACCTTGGCGATCACGAGGCGCCACCAAATTTATGAAAATTATTACAACCATGTAACTGAAACATTTTTTCGGTTAGAAATGTAGAATAAAAAGTTATAAATCGATTTTTGTTTTTGATTAGGCGCGACAGTGAATTAATAATCTGCATTAGTAATGAAACCGTTACATTGATCTATACGAGAAGAATTATATATTTTATGTTCGTTTTGAAAGTCCTTGAATTATTTTAAATATAATTCTATTAATAAAAATATGCTTAGGAATCAAAGATATTTTTTAAAGATAGGAAATAAATATGTAATGACAATTGTTGCATCACACTCATCATTTCCTTACCGCCCAAAACAAGTCCACAGCCTCTCAGTCTCTCAAGGGGGGTGTTATCGGCCCCCTTGAGAAACAAATGTTCTAGAGAGACTCTGTGCAGCATAACAAATCAAGAATCCAAAACTAATGCTGATGCGTTCTCAGGAAGAAGAAAAAAATTATTTTTCAAAGTAGATAAAGAAACTGCAAACTTTTCAGAATCATTTTATAATAGGAAAGGAAATTTTTAAAAAGAAAGTATTATTATTAAGTATTTCTGTAAGAAAGTAGTTCATTTTTATGATTTGTAGCGTTTGAAAAATAATGAGTAGCCCAAATTCGATTTTGAGTAGCGGGGACTTTTAAAAGTAGCCCAATCCGCTACTTGTAGCCCAATCTGGCAACACTGCTCTGCTTGAGA